AATAAAATAAAATTTTAATTTTAAGTGTTTTAATAATTTTTTATAATATTAAATTAAGTAATATAAATAAATTGCTTTACTTTTAATATTATATTTAAAAATTTTATATTTAAATTGTATTATATTATAAATTATATTTTTTTTATATATTTAAAATAAATGAATTAAATAAATATATTGATTAAAATAAGTAAGAATATTTTTATTTTATACTAGTAAATACCAGTATCTTTCTTCTTATAATATGCTAATACCTAATCCTAATTAATCCTAACTAATACTTATTTACCTTAACAAACCCTAACAAATCTTAACAAATCTTAACTAATTCTAATTAATCTCATTATTTTTAGAGTTATAGACGAGTTAAGTTAACTCATGAATCAGATAAGCTGAATCAAGTTTAAATCAAGTTAACTTTATATTTTTTGACTTGATGATTTACAAATCATGCTAAATTCAAGTCAAGTTAAATATTTATTTCAACTTGATTTAAACTCAACTTGATTCGAGTTAAAATAGATTAACTTGAAATTGATTCTTAATTTTTATTTATTTATTTTTTCCCTCTGATCATTTCTTATTATTTTTTTATTTATTATTTTTTATTGATTTTTTATTTTTTTTTTTAATTTTTAATTTTTCCTTTTTTTTTCTTCTCCCTTCTCCTGATTTTTTCGTTTTTAATTTTTTTTTTAATTTTTTTTGTTTTTATTTCATTTTTTTAATTTAATTTTATTTATTTTTCCTTTTCTTTTCCTTTTCTCTCTTTTAATCTTCATTTTCATTTTTTAATTTTATTTCGTTTTCATTTTCATTTTTTTAATTTTTTTTTTTAATTTTTTTTTTTATTTTTATTTTTATTTTTAATTTTATTTTTTAATTTTTTTCATTTTCATCTTCATTTTATTTTTTCTTTCTCTTTTCTTCTTTGATCTTTTTGTTTTCTTTTTTAATTTTTTTTTGTTTTTATTTTTTTATATTATTTTATTTTTATTTTATTTTTCAATTTAATTTTTACTTTTTGATTATTTTTTTATTTAATTCACTTTTCTTTTTTTAGAAATAGATCTTTTGCTTTATGAATAAGGTAAATATAAATTTTTTTATAATAATTAATTTAATATTGATCTAAAACTTGATTTAAACTTGACTCAACTTAAATAAATTTAAGTCAAAATTGAGTCAAGTTAAAATCAAGTTGAATTAAATTAAGTCAAATTTAAAATTTATATAACTCAAATTAAGTCAAGTTGAAAGATTTTATAAAATAAATTTGACTTGATTCAACTCAAAAAATGAGTTAAATAGAGTTAATCTTTAAACTCAACTCAACTCAACTCATTCAGAATTCTACCTATTTCTAACTATAATAAATAAATATATATGACAAATAAGATTTTATCATACAAAAAATAACTAAATCACCTGAATAAATAGAAAATTAAGAGGTGAAATATAATGTGATATAAAAGTAAGGATAAATATCTATGGATATAATTATAATATATTGAATAAGTAAATAAAAATATTTATTATATAGAAAGTTTTCTAGAAAAATAAGACTCTAAGATTTTTTTTGATTAAAAAATAAAATTTTATTAAAAATTTCTAGAATCTCATTTTCTTAGCAAATATTCTATATATTAAAATTATAAAAAAAATCTAAAATATTAAAAAAGAATATTGATTTATAATTTAAAGAATTAAAAAAATTATTTTAAATTATTTTATATTATTTTAATATAAAATTAAATACTTATTAATGATTAATTAAATAATAAATCTTTATATTTAATAAATTATTTACAATTAACTCTTTTTATAATGAATTTGATATAGAAAATTTATAATATAATGCATTTATAATGTGATACAAAATTTTATCATATAGATACTTTATAAAAAAGAAGGAAATTATCAAAAAAAAAATATTTTTTTTATTTTATAAGTTAAATATTATTTTTTTAGCAAAAATAAAATTCAGATTTAATATAAATTTAAAAAAATTTTTTTGGTAGTATTATTACTTTTTACTACAAAATACCTATATAAAATAAATTATGTTATATTAAATTACACTCTTTCTTCTTTTTCACTTGATTATATTTCAAAAAAATAAAAAATTTATTTTTATTATTTTTATAAAATTTTATTTATTTTTTCATAACAAAAAACTTTAGAAAATTAGATAAACATAGCAAGCAATATCAAATAGATTTAGGAGATACAAGGATATTTTTTATCTGTATATTTTAATTTTAACTTTTATAATAGTTAGACAACAAGTTAGATTCTAATAAACATAAGCAAAAATTTAATATTAAAAACTAAAATAAACTTAATAAAAAACTTAATAAATAGTTTATAAACATAAAAGCAAAGCCATACCTTCTATAACTTGTAATATTTTAGAGCTTATTGCTAAATTAAAAGAAAAAGTAGACAGATCAGTATCATAAACATCACAAATTAATCTTTTCCAGCATCACCAACAAAAAATCACTTTTACGTGATCATATAGAAAATATTTGTCACATGCGTTACACCCTTCACTTTTCATTTTTTACTAAGTATTCCAGGGACAGAGAATTTTTTTGGTGTGTAAAATCCTATTCGTCACACCACTATTCGTCACATACATAATGCCTTAACTCACGGTAATGCCATAATTCTGGCCAAAAGTTTCGTGAAAGTGATTTTTTGTTGGTGATCCTGGGGTAGTTTCACAAATTATCCCATATCACATGATATTTCAAAATGACGCGGAGGTGGATTTGTTTTGTCGATCGTTGGGAATTACAATTTATTTAGAATTTTTTAAAAAATATCTTTCCTTCGTTTCTTGCGTACCAACTTTCGTCGTTTTTTTAAGAATGCGTTTCTTTCAATATATCTGGTTATCTATTAACTGTTGATACAATAAATACAATAAATACTTTGATACACTTTAGCCTTTCTAATTATTATTTATGCAATGGCATGAACGTTCTAGTTAAGTATTTTTTTTATATATAATTTTGAAATAGACTTATTGCGATGATTGTATCTAGTACACTTTGCTTATCCACCTCTTCTATTGCTTTGGTTAAGAAATTAGATTTTCTTTTTTTCCTCTGTCTCATCGCAGCAGTATGTGTAGGCTATATCTCTATAGTGCCTTTATCACGTCCTCTGCACATTAGTAAATATCCTCTGCACGCTTATTAGCACGATATGATATTTTTAACAAGATATGGCGTTGACAGTCCTCTGAGATTAAAAATATTTTTTATTTCAATATGTATCCTTCTTTGTTAATGATGTATGATAAAAATCTACTTGCAGAATCGAAAATTTAACCTCGCAATAAACCGAATAATGAAACATATATGGACGCACCAAAAAATTTATAAGCGTTAAAAAGGAAGAAGAGAATTGATTGCTAAATTTAATGGGTGAGTAGTTCTTACTGAGTAAATTTGTCGAGTCGTTGTGTATCCGAAGTTACACTATAAAATAATCCGGGAATTGAAAGCTCTTCGTGGCCACAGTTGAGTTGGGGCATCTTTCTCTAGTGAAATGAAGAAACCTTGAAGGGAGTTTCTACGATGAAGGTCAACTGATCGGAATGAAGTTTTGGTTATGTATCTCCTTCGTAAAAATCATAGAAACTTATAAATTCATGGCGTATTTGTTTTCTACTGAGAGTGTTCTTGTTCTTCTCCGTGAACGTTCTTCCCTCCTGTTTCGATGCTTCCACTGGAAGTTTAAATGTAAATAGGATACACGAATCAACGAATCGAAAGCTCATCGTGGCCACATTTACAAACGACTGTGAACGTTCTTCATGATTCTTGATGATTATGACGCAAATGCTTACATTTTACAGTATTATTTATTTTATAGTTGTCCTTGATTAATAATTATCGGGAATCAGTTTGTGGTATTTGTTTTTAATATTTGCGTTGTTTGAAATATTATTCTACAAGTGATATTCCCTTTTTTAAAATTCCCTAATTTTTTCTTCTATCCGAAACTTCATGTTTTATATACAGTATACAAGCAAATGTAGATCTTTCATCTCAACGTTTAGTGACAAATGCAAGAAAACAAAATCGAAGTTTGTGTGATGCTAAAATAAAAGAACTATGCAAAAAAGGACTGTACTAGACGTCTTGGAAATTACTATATGTTACAATCTTCATTCACTTTGGTTGAAAGTCGCCATACTAGCAGGGTTTGGGGAGCTTTCGTGCACCCCAGCCACTGTGAAATACAGTCCAGCCGCATGTTTTGGGGTTTTTTTTTCACGACAAGGAATCGAGACCAATTGTACCGCTCCATGGATCAGCGACACGTTAAAAATACCGTGTAACCATGTTACACACGGCATTGTAATCTTTGACTCCTCGCTCAAAAGTTGATTAATTGCATTACCAATTAAAAGATATTATGATGGCTACATAACCAAGTATATCTGCGGATGACATTAGAAACAAAAATAAGTGGAAAGATTACTTGCCTGGTTGTAAGGTATATATACAAATTATTAACTTTTTGAATTATTAATCGATATAAAATAAAATAAAAACTAATCATCGTTATTATTGATGGACGGTCAATGCTTCAACAAAAATATCGTAAGCGATCCTTAGCAAACAATACCTGCTAAGTGAATGAATACAACATTCAAGTTTCAAAGACGATGAAAACTCTCTTTTCTGCTTGGAAACTAGCTAGAACAATCAACAACTTACGGTTTTTCCCTTTGACAATTTTCTTTGCAATAATTTGGTAAAGAATTTATTTAAAATTTATGAAATTGAGGTACTGTATTTTTGAGAAATTGATCATTATTGTTGGAATTTTAAGCAGGAATTATTTGTTAATGTTACAAATTTTGTAATAGAAAATAAGCATCCAAATCGGGATTTTCTCAGAGTCAGATATTTTTGTATAATTTAACGAAATGCAACGCGAAAGCGCTTTTATATTTCCAGGAAACGCATCCGAAAATAATGACAATAATACATAATGGATCAGAACAAAATATACAAGCATCAAATCCAGTATCGTTTTTTACGATTGAATTCGCAAGCGGTGCCAACGTTGGTTCCTTGATGGGGACGTATCGATCGGTAGAATCGACCATTTCGACATAAACAACATTTGTATTGGATGAAATTTTGAAGAAACGATGTTAAACATACATGTACGTACGTCGTCGACGAATTGGCGAAAATGCTAATTATTCTGAACACAGAAATCTAATTTCGAAACGAAATGGAGATTCTTCGATCCAATATTGGAAAAAGCTACAACGTACACATATTTCCAAATTGTTGTTTGCTTTGAACATTAATATCATATAGCGAATTTTTTTTGTGGCACAGAGAATTAAATGCCGATCACAATGGAATTTTTTGTGGCTCATTTCAGCCAATCATTTTCTTTGAAAAAATTTTCTCACGTATATAATATATATCGCAGATTTTCAAACTAAAAACATTTTAATTTTTTCTTCAACATAGGTGAAGCACGAAATTGTTATTTTGCAAGAACTTACTGTCAGCGACAATGCCGACACTAACCAAAAGGTAGTCTAAGACTACGCTCTCTTCCTTTTGTTTTGTTTTATAATTTCCTTTTCTTTTTTTTCATTTAAAAAAAAAAAAAAAAAAAAAAAAAACATAAATAACCTTAGTTAAAGTGATATCTGCTGGCCAGTGAATTCACTCCCTGAACTAAGGATAGAAAGAAGTATCCTCTCGTTTCGTACTATTGGCAAATCAAGTAGAAAATATGGGTTCGCTTGTCCTATGTCCAA